TATGGTACAGTATTATACTAATAATTCGCCTACGCGTAAGGGTCTTTAAGAAAACACACGAGATTGGACATGAGACCAAACTCCTTGTCATCTAAGGCAAGAAAACCCACCAGCTGCTGCATTTGACAGACCCTATGAGCTGAAGCGCAAACATTAAATCAGTCAGCCCCCCACACACACCCACCACACCCACACTACACACACCCACACATACACCATCTACCCTGTAATGGAGGTCCTTATAGTGTTTTATCTTAATCAGTGTCCAGTAATACCACTTTAAATATGTGTGTACATTGTTATATCTTCCGTTCTGTCTTGTCGAGTAATCATAAGCTTCTCAACCAATCTATGTCTGGTTGAATGATAATCAGTATTATTACTATCTATACTTTAGATTTTAAGTAAAGAGAAAACTAAACAGAACGGACAAGCGATCAGTTGGTCCGGGACGAGATGTCTTGTGGCTTAAATCACGTCATGGTTTTACAGCAGAGTTCCCGACTGTTTCTTTTTATCTGAGCCTGTATCATTCAGACGAAAATTATTCTGAATGAATTGTCAACATTTGAGCCTACCTAGGTCATTGGCTAGATAATCTGGTCTTTTTTGTTTCCGTTCAGATAAGTGTAATGAGGGAGGTAAATAGCCCCAAAACTTCGCCGTTTGAAGACTAATAGGTTCTGGATGACTGAGACTAATTCATCACATGAAATTATATGTCAATGATAGAAATTGAAGCACACCCACCCAACCTCCTCACATTGTAGCATACATGGGAGCATAAAATAACCATTGCCCATAATGCTTAATCAGATACGAAACCTTACAAATAACGGATCATCCCCTCATTGTGACAGCTTTACATTTATATTTCGGTTGAAAGTAGATAAAAATACAATAGCACAACCGGTAGCAATACAAAAGTACAACTGGTACCAATTCAAAAGTACATTTTGATATCAATACGAAGTACAACTAATTGAATAGCAAATCTTGTACCAATACAAAATACAACTGGTACCAATTTAAAAGTCAATCTTGATATCAATACAAATATACAACTGAAACCAATACAACAGTACAGCTGTTACCAATACAAAAGTACAACTGGTACCAATACAAAGTAGAACTAAATGCAAATACAAAAGTACACCTTGATATTGATACAAATATACAAATAATACCAATACAACAAAACAACTGGTACCAATACAAAATTACAACTGGTACCAATACAAATGTACAAGTGGTACCAATACAAATGTACAACTGGTAACAATACAAAAATACAACTAGTACCAATACAAATTTAGAACGTGCGTGCGAATACAAAAGTATCACCGGTGGCAATACAGAAGTACAACTTGCTCACATACAAACTACAATTGGTGCAAATGGAAAATACAATTGGTACGAATGAAAGTACAACTACTGGTTCCAATAAAAAAAGAATGCAAGTTATACCAATAAAAAGGTACACGTTATACCAATAAAACGGTACAACTTATACAAATAAAAAGGTACAACTTATTATACCAATAAAAAGTAACAACTTATACCAATACAATAGTACAACGAAATTATTATTTATAAGTAGATCGTTGTAAATGCGATTTTAACTAGCAAGTAGCTTCACGAGTGTTAGGGTATAATTTTCATCTTGAAATAGATAATAAACGTGTAATAAGGCACTACATCATCTTCATATTTATAGCTTATGACATGCTAACTCGTGATAACTGATTATAAAATAGCTAAATAAGGATATAAATTATAGCTTTGTATGTACAATAAAAATAATTACACTCTATCTTTAATGATTATTGTCAATCTTCTGTTAATAATGATACGAACCATAATAGTACTAAAGGTAAGGAGCCACGGTGGCTTAGTGGGTAGGACGTTGGCTTGCTAACCTGAAGGTCCCGTGTTCGATCCCTGCGTTGGCTGAGAGAGTTCATCGGCTTTTTCCGTCATGATTTCCCTTATCAGTGATGTAGGACGGGGGGCCTGGCAAGGGACAACGTATAGTCGTTCAGATGGGACGAAATACCGAGATCCCATGTACACATTGGTGTGCACATAAAAGAACCCTTGACAGTTGGAATTCGAAATAAAAGTAGACTGTAGCGCCGCTGTCCGAGAACAATTTCCCTCACAGCACACTGCATGGCGTATGTCCGTCATCATTAGCCCAGTAGGAGCAGAATAGTCGGACGATAAACTCTATTTCATTTAATTTCACTAATGGCGGATATGATTATGATCTAAGCTCTAAGATTCTCGGGTCTTTTCGGTCTGTGCTGCTTGAGTTGAAGTATACTTATACTATCGGATTTTCATACCACAATAAAGGAATATGTAAAAGGGTAAAGTTTTGATTCTCTACAGGAAATGGCTTTCCAACTGTAATTGGCGTGGTTTCAATTCCTAGCTTGTACGTGACGAGGGGTGAAGTCGCCTCTGTTTCCACACCCACTGTGCAAGTGAATTATTGAAATAAACTTGAAGAAATGTTTGTCCCGAAATTACATGGTTTGTTTCGAGTAGACGTTAACCCCCTTTCTCTCCCTTTCTCTCCTAGCTGTGATTTGATTTTGGTATAATCTTGCGACGCTTGCGTTGTGTTTTCTTTTGCCTTTTTTATGCTGATTCACGCGATGTCTGCTGTCCTTCTATGCGTAGCATCTGACATAATCATCATAACATAATTAATTTTTAAATCGTATTGGTTGATAAGTTCTTATAGAATTAGCTTCAATATAGTTTTCCAATACGATTTCACTAATGCCTATTCTCAGATTCGGTTAGAGGCCAGCTAGTTGTCGGATCAGGTTTAAGACGGGGAGTTAAATAATGTTAGGCGTATTGTCAGATACGATTAATAGAGACAGTTGTGTTCGATAAGAGTATGGATTATAAGGTCAAATGGTTATGACTGTTGGTTATGTAATCGTTATAAGACAGAGGTCGTAATGGTAATTCTACATAAATATATAATATATAAATGGAATGGGTTTTAACGTCCTACTACTCTTCACCGATTGGGCTAAAAGAAGGCGGACATTGTGCTTTGGGGAAGAGTTTGCCGGATAGCGGCCCTACGGCCTACTCTTATTTCGAATTTCGAATGTAACGCATGATAAAATATGTATATATGTCAAAGATTTAATATCTGTTTTTAATTATATTTTCTGTGATATTTGTTTTTATTTACATTTATATATATCTGTGATATTCTTTAAATTTGTCTTGTTAAATTCACCAGTAATATAGCCCGGTTGGAGCTGACCTACCATAAAACTCCATTACATTTCATTCCAAAATGTTACGTTTAGCAAATATTTGAAATAACCACTCTTTACTGAATATGTTACTATTAAAAAATGCCAAACATGCGCATATGGTAGGCTGTTTTGATGGATCTGTCGTGTACCATTCCTCGTACCAATATTCATTATTTACTCATTAACCGTTTTATTTAAATACGTATTGGGCGATAGAACAACTTTGTTTCTCTTTATATACTAAATAAAACACAGATATTCTCTAGGATATGAGAGAGCGAGAGAGAGAGGAGGAAGAGAGAGAAAGAATGGGGTTTAACGTCCACTCGACACAAACATGGTCATTTCGAGACTAACATATGGTTCAATTTTATGTCATTAATTCGCTTGCGCTTAGGGGTCTTTAGCAGTGGGAGGAAACCGGAGGACTCGGAGAAAACCCACGAGGTTAGACAGACGATCCTACTCCTTGTCACGTACAACCGGGGATATGATCTATTAAGCTTTGTTTAAAGAAGATCCAAGTGGGATTTTCCACAAACACAATGACTGTGTTAAATCTATACATTCGTAGCTTGTCTTTTGGCCATGAAATTAAGTTCTCGCAATAATCAACCAATATTAGTCACAATCGACACACATCGGGAGCAGCAGTGGCTCAGTGAATAAGACGATGACTAGCTAACAAGGAGGTCTCGGGTTCGCTCTCGGTGTTGGCCGAGAAAGTTCCTCGGGATATTTCCATCGTGGTTTCCCTTTGTCAGTTGTCAGTTGTTAAGGACGGAAGTTCCTGACGAGGAACAGTGTCTAGGCGTTCGGGTTTTCATCGTGGTTTCCCTTTGTCAGTTGTGCAGGACGGAAGTTCCTGACCAGGAACAGTGTCTAGGCGTTCGGGTGGGACGAAAAACCAGGGTCACGTGTACACACTGGATTGCACGTATACGAATCCCGGTCTTACAAGGAAAGGTGTCTAGGCGTTTGGATGGTATGAAAGCCATTTGCTTGCACGCGCAAGAATCCCTGGCTGTTGGAATTTGAAATTTATCCCATAGTACACTATGGTGTATGCCCGCCATAACCCAATCGATGGGAGCCACGGTGGCTAGGTGGTTAAAACGCTGGCTCGCTAACTTGGAGGTCGGGTGTTCGATCCCTGCATTGGCCGAGAAAGTTCATCAGGATTTTCCGACGTGGTTTCCTCTTGTCAGTGGGCCTGACAAGGACAACTGTCTAGTCCTTCGGATGAGACGAAAAACCGAGGTCCCGTGTATATATTGGAGTGCACGTAAAAGATCCCCTGACAGTTGGGATTCGATATAAGAGTAGGCGATAGTGCCGCTGCCCGGGCAAAATTTCCCTCATAGCACACTGTATGGCGTATGCCCGTCTTCATTAGCCTAGTATAGGAGCAGAACAGTAGGACGTTAAAACTCCATTTCATTTCATTTCACCTAATCGATGCAGAAATATAGGACGTTAAACCCCATTTCGTGCCATTTCCTAAATTCACGAAAGACTCAACACAAGAGATGGAAATAAATAACAAATTTCCTTTTAAAACTGTGGTGAATGGATCGATCAAGGTTTTGTTAATGCTGAATGTGGATCTCTTTCTTCAACATCCATTATTTTTACATTAACTTTTTCACTCAACAAAAACTCTTATACCAATTATTACATTACGTTAATGGCTTTGGTTAAATTTTTCAGGTTTTTGATGCTGTGATAGTGTTGATATCGTTTCTAGTCGATCTGGTATTTCTCAATCGACTGCCTAATTATGAAATCCAGGACTTTGTTTTTATTCTCGCCTTTTTATTGCCCTGGAGAGTAATGAGAGTTGTAAATAGTAAGTAAAGTTGAAATATTTTAGCTAACATTAATTTTCTTTAGATTTTGCGAGCCGCGGTGGCACGTTAACTACGAGGGATCGATTTCTGTTTTGGCCGAGAAAGTTCCCCCGGTTTTCCATTAGCACATTATGGATGGCCTGACAAAAACACTGTCTAGTCGTTCGGATGGTATAAAAACCCGATGTCTCATGCACACATTGATGTGCACGTAAAAGAACCCTTAAAGGTGGAATTTGAAATAAGGGTAGGCCGTAGAGCCGCTGTCCTGTCAAAACTGCTCTCACAGCTCACGGTATGGCGTATGCCCGTCTTCATTAACCCACACGGCGCAGAAAAGTAGGACGTTAAACCCTCGTTTCATTTCGTATTGTAAATGTAGCTTAAGTTAAGCTTATTCGTTTAGAACCCCTTATGAGACTTCTAATTTAAGGAGATTACATGTTGTAATGCTGTTATGACAGAGAGCACAGATTGCCGATTTAACAAGCATGTCCATGAGTTGTGATGCTGCATTTACCAAGAATAATGCATTTATGTTATGACAGCGAGTACAGATTGCCGATTTAACTAGCATGCCCGGTTGCCAAATATTTTTCTTGTTGTATTTAATCGAAATGATTAAAAGAGTTCACTGTTCCCCAAAAACAGGTTTCGAAAAAAATAAATAAATAATTCCAACCCGTTTAGATGTAAGTAAGTCTTTTAATATATACCAATGTCTATCGCTGTCCATTAAAACATGTTTACAAAAAAAAAAAAAAAAAAAAATAAATAAATAATTCCAATCCTTTTAGATGTAAGTAAGTCTTTACAATATACCAATGTGTATCGCTATTCTTTCATTCTCATGAAAATGTTGTCTATACATACTGCCCGCGTAAAACGGAAAATATATTTTATACTATATTTAATTGATAAATCCCCCCCTTTTTATCTCTCATTCCAAAAAAAATCAACCCTTTTTATCTTTCATTCCATAATCTATTCTAAGCTAGATAAACTTATAATATCATTAAAATCTGTTATACAATGGTTTTTTATTCACTCATATCGTATTTGACGCGATTCTGAAAGGATTTGAATCTCATGATGCACGGAACTGATTTCGTTGCAGAATAATATTAGGCGGCGTTCTGGTTTATATCATCTGTCATTTGGTATCTATAAAGCCTAACATTATTCGGCTCAGGGGTATATAATAATGAATAAAGGATTCAGTCGACCCGTAAATGTTATTATACCCTCTGAAATGTATTAGACACTACCAAAGACATGGTCGTAGAAATTGGAATAAGCACAAGTAACCAGGATCAGAGGCATTACCAGATTTTAGTCACATTTGGAAAGAAAAAGTTGAATTTGTTTGAGCCCCGCCTTTGCGACTTCCTTGAGATTGACCGATAACGTCAGGCAGTTTGGTCAGAATAGTTAAAGTAACGCTGCGCCATTTGCATTTATCGCCAAAATATTCAATTTCTTACGGCTAAATTTACACTATAATGTACTCAGACATAATTAAAATATCACCCCCCCCCCCCTTGGAACCATTTTAGACTGATAATTTAATTATTGATTACACTTTCACATGGGATTCATATTGCCTTAAATGACGCAATGAGGCTTTAAGTCTGGCTAATTTTCCATCTAAACGCGACATTCTTCTTGTACAAATTTACCAGAAATTTTAAATAGCTCTTATATTGGACCAGCACAACGTAGACTCTGATTCTTACAACAAAAAGATAAGCTGTTAAGCACCACGGAACACATGCAATATCCCCCACACACCATGTACTCTAACTGCTCGAACCGGAAATTGAAGCTGTCTCGATATGTTTTAAATCTCGTGTTTAGTCCCGCCAAAAAAATAAATAATCCACTTCATTGACTGAAAATATCAAAAAGTTAATTTGGAGTATCACAAAAGAAAATATCATTTTAAGAAATAAATCAATATTTTTTTACCCATTATAGAGGATTGTGTTGAAGCAATGATTAAGCTTTCGAGTTTCTCTACAATCAATATTTTCACACCAAAAAAAGCGTTTTCAATTATTGGGGTTACGAAACAAACAATGATCATGGCAAAACAGTGAATCGAAAATCAATGAATTTAAAGAAACGCTAGAAAATTACGCTTGTTGGCTGTTTCCAATGAAAAAGAGCAGGCAGGTTATAAAAAACCTTTATTACCAATTATGCGCTTCACATAGGTTTTTGTTTTGTTTTGAAGACAACCAGAGAGACCCCACGGACTTAAGCCTGTGAACTTTCTTCTTGTCACATACAAACCCAAAATGGAACCCATCTTCAATAGAAGACTTGGTCTCACTTTAACTCCATACATCGTATCAAGAACTTCGCGTAATACTCTGCATTTTTCACCTCTAATTTCTATTGGTTACTGACCCACCTCGTGACCTCTCAGATTCCTCGATAGAAAATTTCATTGCGCTTTCCAACTGAAATGTCTAGCTGTGGTAATCGAGTTGCAAAGTTCAAGGTTCGATCAATGCAAACTTGTTGGAACTTTTCCACTTAAAAATATTTCCGAACCCTCTGGACAAGTAAAATAGGATGTTATAATGGATAATTTACACAACAGGTAGGGCACTTAAACATCTAATACTTAGAATAAGGCTAATATTTATTTACTGGAGCTGTCAAGCCAGCAAGAGTGTTATTGTCCCTTTAAAGCGCTCTATATACTGCAATTTAAATCAAGTAAAGTAAAATTGAAAGAGCGACTCGACATAAAAACTCAAATCGCAAAATATTGACAAAACACATCGTTAATCATTTTTCTAATATATTTTATGGGGTTTTCATTATTTTGTTAATATTTAGTCCAAGGTTATCTGTAATACCGAGAACCGTTGATTCTATCGGATTACAAAGTTCGGAAATTGATTTAACAGCTTCATACAGAATTCCCGCCATTTTAATGTGAAACTGAAACCGTCTATTCAGCAACACAAGCTGATGATTGGAATCTAATTCAAACATGAGTCGCGGTGGCTGAGTGGGAAAAACGTCTCGTGTTCGATCCAGGTGTTGGCAGAGAAAGTGAATCGGGATTTTCCAGCGTGGTTTCCCCTTGCTAGTGGTGTATTCCGTAGGACCTGACAAGGGACGAAAGTCGATACCCGGTGTACACATCGGCGTGCACGTAAAAGAACCCTTGGCTGTTGACGGTTGAAATTCGAAATACCAGTATGTCATTGTATGGAGTATGTAGTATGCTCGTCTTCATTGACCTAGTCCCGTTTTCATTAACCGAGTCGGAACAGAACAGTAGGACGTTAAACCCCATTTCATTAGCACAGTCACAGAACCTTACCACGTCACACATACTCTCCCGGTTGAAATAAAATACACTCCAAAAAGTGCCCTGCCGTTTCATACACGCAGAACCGTGTTATTCCAACTCAAATACAAGCAGCGTAACTGTTATATACTGAGCGCCATGGAAAACGCATCACTTAAGTCTTTCGTATAACAAAATGATCCTGTAAACATATCTTATTTATTTTGCTTCTTATTGTGAACAATATTCAAATGGGAACACATCAATAACAACACATTTGTACACTTATGCATGTTTAATCTGTAATCAAGGGTACAAAATCAGAGGGGTCAAAACCAAAAGAACGACACAGATGTCAGTAGCGCGTGTGTCCTCCACGGGCCATCATCACGATAGGCTACAGCATAAACGCGATCCCTGCAAATGTGTAGGGCGGTCCGGTGATGAAATGTGAAGCCCCTCCACACCATTACACTCCCCCCACCCCATCGATTCGTTTCGAAGAGGCAGAAGTCTGCAAGACGTTCCCCAAGACGTCTCCACACACGTTGATGGCCATCAGCGTGATAAAGATGAAATCGACTCTCATCACTGAAGAGCACACTTTGCCAGTCTACTCTTCTCCATGTCTGGTGTCTTGAGCCCATATCAAACGCCGCTGACGGTGATGGTCCCTTAGGATAGCTCCAACATAAGGTCGTCGTACACGGAGTCCTACTTCTCTTAGACGTCTTACGGTGTTGGCACTTACTGGTCCTTGTCTTCCGAGGACTGCTGCACCTGTTCGAGTCGCTGGGTGGAATCGGGACGCAGATGAGTGACCCGGATGTAGCGGTCTTGAGCCTGGGTTGTAACGCGTTGTGGACCAGGACGTTGACGGTCACGTGTTGATCCAGTAACTCGAACACGTTCCACCAACCTTACAATAGTGGACTGATGACAATTGAAGTGTCTGGCAATAGCACGTGTAGACATGCCAGCCCTGGACATTCCCATGGCTTCATTCCGTTGATTTTCAGTAAGTCTCGGCATCTCTAGCTCGATTCCGTCACACGTACAACAACAAATTACGACAGATTGACGTTTCACAGTTCATGTACTGCACATTAAGTTGAAAACATGCTTTTAAAGGGCTCACACACAATGCTGCACGTGAATAGTGGGTTTTTCATGTGCATCTCGTGCAATTTTGTTTTTTTTTTGCACAGGAGCCGATATTTTTGCGTTTGGGAGCATTGTTTGAACCAATAGTTCATAGTATTGCATAATATTATACATACAAAACCACCTAGTAATAAAATATTTGGGAAAAAAAAGTGATGCGTTTTCCATGGCGCTCAGTATATTTTAGTTTACATGAACAGAGAACGGTTATATTTTACTTAAATTACACACAGAATGCTTACATTTCTATTGCAAAAAATAGTGTGTTGCTGAGTTAGCATTTTGCGTGAACAGGCCAGGGTATGCTTACTCTTCCTGAAACGCCTAATATCTACTTTTTAAAACTGTGTGGTGGTTTTGTATAATACAACACTGGCCTAGTGAATTTTGATTGCAGTAGGTCTCTAAAAATCCGTTTTAGAGCTGTAACATGCACCGTGCAATTGACGGGGCGGGTTTTGTAGGCACCTGATACCGCCTCTTTTTTAGGATTTCACACAGCTAACACTTTTGTATCTGGGTGTCCCTGGGCATCCTCGGTATCCCCGGTGGTCTCATTCCGTTCCACTCCACTAAATCCTGGGTTTATCCATGGCGGAGACACGTATTCAAATTATCTGCCCTTAACGATTGTGCTTTTTTTATCGACCAATACGCTTGGTAGCATAATGACTTGTCACTTCCTGTTTGATTGACATAAAAACATCTTTCCCATCAAACATATATTTTAGGATAGCTTTTTGTGCGCATGCCACTTCTTCTATATTAAATTTCTTGAAAACTTTCTCATAATCGAGCGAAAAAGCCGCCATATTGTTGTGAACGTAAACTATTATTTAATTGGATCTTAGAATCAAGCTCCGATCAAAAGCAGATAATTTGAATACGTGAATACCCCATGGATGAACACAGGGTATAGTGGAATAAGAGCATTTAGATAGTTTATAACTTCTTGCCGATTATGACACTTGCAAGGTTTCCATTGACAATTTCAGGTTTGGTTGTTGCAGTGAAGGATCATGAACATTTCCGATTAAAACTTGTTTACAGCCGGAAAAAGAAAATTCAAAACAGTTTGAAAGAATCAGAAATTAAACTTCAAGTATTTAGGGTAAGTTTTGTATTTTAAAATATTATTCATTCGGTAGTCCGTACTCAACACGTGCCACCACATGTAAACCCTCCTGACCATGAATTGTTTAAGTAAAATTTTAGTAATTATTAACATTTAAATTAAAAAATAAAACAAACAACATTAATGGAATACAAATATTGAATTTGATTAACAAGGACAAGAAAATCATTGTTGAAATTATTGAATTCAATAATCGTATTCCATAAAGATTTTGGTTTTATTTCAAACCTAAGCCGAGAGAATATTTATGTAACGGAATAAGATCAAATTTGTTTATAAATTGGGTTTATAACTTTACCCTTGTATAGCCACAGTTAGTCATCGGGGAGCGGATCGGGGGCTTTGTTGGACATATACCGGCCATGCCGAAGACGAAAAAAATAAATGGATATTTATGTGGCCCGGGACTTCATGAGCATCGGTGCGGTGTACCTGCTGCGTCCCCCACCCCCGCCCACAACACCCATTTGGATCCAACCGCGAGTCTTACATAAACCAATATATATATAAAATGTGATACTGTCATACTTGGGGAAACCAATCTATTTTCAAATGATGATATCATTTCATTGATCATGTTTTGGAATCATCGCCACTGGAGCCAAAAAATGCATTTATAATGTTAAAATCAATGCGAATAAGTCAAGCACGCTAAGATAAGTTCAAAAAATATATGGCCAATGAAATAAAAAATGGATTTCATAACTTGAATCTGACTGTACCCATTCATTTTATTTAATGTTGGTTCATCGTAATCAATAGCGCTGTTAGGCGATGGCTTTTTTAAGATAAATTTGTCCTTTAAAAACACTTTATTATTTGAATTAAAAATATTTCTGATTATCTAGTTCGTATATCATGATGAAAACGCACCAATAAATCACCATGGAAGTTGTATCTCTGGAGGGATAACTCTGCGCCTTATAATCTAGATTGTGTTGACCTAATTTCCGAATTAAACTTGTGACCCATTTTCAGTAACACCACTAACACGACAAAAATACATAATTGGGCGGTTTCATGTTCAAAAGTATGAAAAAAGGATTTATGTACATAATTACTCATTGAACATGATAACGATAGTAAGGAACATTTTAGTAGATTGTAATTCTATAGAGATATGTGTGCCGTTTGTCGATTAAGCCCTCATTTAAAGTCCTACATTTCTGGGTCGGCTCAATCTGATTAAAATACAGATCTATATTTCGTTTCGTTTTTTTTTTATACACTACATAGCTTTTGACTCTATGACGTCAGACATTTGATTAACCAATCACCGTTGATGTTTTTAGTACGATACCCACAGTTCCGTGCATCGCACGCCAAGAACTCGTCGCAACAGACCGTTTCATTGGTTAACCCCTCACATCAACTAGAACGCGGGTTATATAACAACTCTTCCAGATCCTAGTGTAGTCAAGATAAGTAAAACGAAATTTTGAACCGAAATAGGATGTGTTTTAACCAGGTTGGGATCGGCGTGGCTAATGCAAACTAATGTCATAGTGTGCTATTAGGGAAATTTTGCCCGGAAAGCGGCGCTACAGTCTAATGTTACACCAAATTCCGTTGTCAAAGGTTCTGCACCATTGCCAAAAGGGGAAACCACGCTGACCCCCCCCCCCCCCCTCGTAACTTTCTCTACCAACGTCGGGAGCGAACCCGGGACCTCCTGGGTAGTGAGCCCCCCCCCCCTTACTGAGCCCCCAAACCAATTTAGTATTCAAATTACATATTTATATCCTGTTTTATTGAAAAGTAAAGTAGTAATTCTAAAGAAGAAAAATGAATATTTGTCCATGCATATTATGATTGCAAAATTGAGCATGTGTAATTCTCTATTTACAGTGCCAATGCAATGCCCTACGTAAACTATGCATATCAGAAGGTATTGATGAATGGAAAGTTGACCAGTTGATGAGAATTGATGAATACACAGTCAGTAAGTATATAAGTCTCGATTATTATAATCCGACGGAGATGTGAAACCTTTGGCAGTGGCGACAGCTGGGTTTACTTTGGGAACAAGATCACGTGGGTTAGTCTTGGGCTGTCTGGAACAATCACGAGTCGATATTTAGCATAGTTGATAAAAACAGCGTTTCTTCGTTTGAGAAGGGGTGGAGCCAAGGAGCAAAGCTTAAGACGTCCCCTTTAATTAACCGGTGATGGTAAATGAAACCCCTCCTAAAGTAAGGGTATTGTTGGCATAGTTTGGATGTTCATGTGAATTAAAACATTGCTTCGAGACCCATTTTAATACATTGAAGCCAGAAGTTCAGTCTGTGTAAAGGGGGATAACTTCTCTTATCGGGATGGTGTCAGACAGGTAATTCGTCCCTAAATGACTTAACGGTAAATACATGGACTTGGCCTTTAACATGTTTGTGAACATTTCGACGATTTTAATCTTTATAACAACAAAGGAACTGCACCTTTGTTTTTAGTTTGTTTGATACTTTAGCAGGTCCGTTTTAACCCATGGACATGCTGGGCTTTTGCCCGGGGGCCCCCACGTACATAAAGACCCCATATGTTTAACACTGATTTTTGATGGAAGTAGTGAAGTACAAATAAATAATTTTCTCGACAATTTACATTTTTATTCCTGCAAGTTGTTGTAGCTTGTGTTAAAACCATTTTGTTTGTTTTTTGCAGATAAAAGTGGGAAGTGTAAATATAAGATAAAGATAGATGACACGTCAATTATGTTGATAAACGATAAAAACGATATTCCTCGTTTTTCGCCGCGCCCCTCTCTCCACAATATATTAGACGTTAAAAATCGTCATAGTTTAGGGCCGTGCATTGAGGAAGACGAACCGAATGATCTTAAAAATCATCATCACAAAGCAGTGATGGACAATAATAAATTGAGCCCAGGAAGATCGTCAACATCATCGTTCAATAGCAAATGAGCAATGGCGGATTATAAGAGGCGGTAACTCTAATCTGTGTTTTAAAAAGGGTAATTTTTAAATAGATTTTTAATTCCTTTTTGATTAAAATGTGATAATACTCTTCTTTACGACTGATATGGACATTGTTTTAAATACGTGTGAATTCAGGTGCCAAATGGTGCATGGGTGTGAATTAAATGAAAATATGAAGCACGCGAAACTCACGTGCATGCTTATTTCAGTTTAAGTCGCTATTTTTTATTTATTGATATTTTTAATGAAAAAAAATCCCTTCTCTAGTCTCAAAGCAGGGGTGTTTATTGCTTCGTGGGCCTAGTGATTATGTGATGGATAGCAATATGGATCTTGACAAACTGATGTCAACAGAAAAGAATCTCTTCTCTGGTCTCTAAGCAGTGGCATTTATTGCTTCGTGGGCCTAACGAATATTCCAAAGTCACCAGAATATCCACATAAAAGTCCACACTGATCATCAATGCTTGAAAGAAGATCTCGCCCAGATTGGTGGTTTCTATTTATATGGATCCGGCGTTGACATTTTGGCCCTTGAAGCCGTACTCAAAACAAAAAGCAATTTAACTTTAGCAATGGCACACACTGACCACAGAATTTACTTCTTCAAAGCAATTAAGTTCACAATTAAATACTATGTGTTGAGGGCAATTTGGAATCATCGAACGTGGTTGTATAACAAAGGATCTGTGTTAAATCCGAATAACATGCGGTGTAGTATGTTAAACAGCTGTAAACCTCGTATCTTATTTTCTGATTTGATTATTTATTTCAAGCACATGTGATATTTACGTAGTTTATCGATGATTAATCGGCGTCCAACGAACAACAGGATACTGTGACGAAACACCATAATGGATCTGATAAACCATCGTTTAATGTGCGCAGATATATTGCTAACTTTTTTTATTGCAAAAACAATAAATGCCTATGTAACTCTCGATTGCATAGCATCTTAAACTGAAAGCTAGAAATATAAATTTTATTGCCATAAAGGCAAAAAGCTGTTAAAATAGAATGTAGAGTAAAATGTACAGGAAATTGTAGCCGCAGCTACCATGCACATCCAGCAGTATATTTTAAGTAATTTGAGTCGACCGGAAAATCCTTTTATTTGATTTTCGTGGGTTTGGTGTTATTTATTTCCTATAATTTGTAGCTTAATTTGTGTTGGAATTTGGCTAGAGACAATAGGGCTTGGGAAATGAGCAAAAATATGTTTAGGGTCGGTGAGCTTGGCTTAAGGTATGCCGGGTAGGTGGCCTAATTGGAATAATTATGAACTGTTCGCATATTAACTTGATATATGTTCTCTATATTTAAACTTAATGTGTTATTGTAAACTGCAGATTTGGGAATTCCCTGCAGATTAGGGGCTTTTTAATTACTATATTTAATACATTAATTTTACATTAATAGAAGTCAGAGTCGCACTGGGCACATACTTTTCAGAGAGAAACGCGCTTGTTATCACGTAACGCTACAAGGTAACATTTTGCTTACTTGTAATTCATACTTCAAGCGTAGCTGCGGCTACAATTTGAGGCGTAGTTTCAGTTTGACTGACAGATTGGAAACTTGACTTTATCAGTACAGTGAAGACAAAGACAAATGATACATGATTAAATGTAAAGCCATGTGATGATGTACTTGAAATAGGGCTTTTATCTGGGAGTTTCCAAACTAAACTAAAAAATACAATAAATCAGACAGTGCCTATGGCTTGTCGGTTATCATGCAGACATATTGGGCTAAGTTAAATTTATGTCCGGTATTTAAAGGTTTTATGCAAATTCTGCAATGTTATATAAATAGATTTGTAAATTATGTACAAAGACGGGTTGTTTTGTTAATTGAAATTATTTGAAATACCTTCATGAACAGAGTGTGTTTAGAGTTCCAAGTAGAAAAAGATCAATTTTATAATTATTTTATTTGTATTTTCTGTTTCCACCCAGTCGGGTGTAAGTTTTACTTAATGATTGGTTATTGTCCATCTGTTTCACTTTTAGCTTGCCTTTACCACGTAATTAAGTTGTTTTAATACTTAAACCCAAAGTTTAGACCTATGTATTATTTTGTTTAAATTGAAAGTTCCCTTGTAAAATACTGTTTTTAACATTATTAATTTTTCACAAAAATGTTATTTCACTTATTTATGAAAACCTATTGAGGGATATATATCGGTAGATCAGATTTGAAGAACAATTATAATGTACAAATCTAAAATCTACAAAAATACTCCTTGGGTAGGCGAAATTTACCTGTAGACTAGTGTTAGTTGTGGTAGTGCCAGAGTATCGGAAAAACAATGGCGGTGCGCTTGAATTCCAATATGATAGCTACTGTATATGAAGTTTAATAGTCGCTATCATGCAGACAAATATTCTACGAAATATTGGTATGGATGGGTTGTCAACATTTGAGAATAACTAGGTCATTGTCTAGATTAACCGGTCTTTTACATTATCACGAACAAAATCTTAAGAAAATTAAATACCATTTCAGAAAAATTTATTTGCATAACCTGTTCAATATCCAGCACTTGTAATTTTTTTATTGTAAAATTTCTCTCATCAAGAACCATATCTAGGTTTTTTTTATTAATCCTAATTCGTCGTCACCATGATTTTAGCTAAAAATTTCCAATGTCCATGCTTAACCGGTTGTTTGGGTTTTATGTGATTGATTATCCAATAAATTTGGCCAAATATTGAAGACTAGGAGGTTCTGGGTGACGGAGACTAGAATTTTAACAGTGTATGAAGTCGGATAATACTAAATGGGTGCAGCAGGCATTATAAGTTTGTTATTTATAGTTTTTAACATACAAATGAGTGTATAATCCCCGAGCCATCTTGAAATTCAATATGGCGACTGTTGTAGGCGAATGTCACTAGATAAGGGAAAACGAGAAAAATAGAAATAGTCAGTACATTCCCTTGTTTTTATTCATTCTATACTTAAAGCTGAACTCCGATTACAAAACTACAGAAATAATTAAATAAAAAAAGATTACCGCCGTACCTAATCGCCATACTTGTTTTCCATTTTTAGAACAAGCATGGCGATTGTATGGCGTACGAAAACAGAGGCAGGCCACGCCCATATCCAGTATACACCTTTTTAATGGGTGTGGGCGTGACCTGCCCCTGTTTTCGTACGCCGTACAATCGCCATGCTTGTTCTAAAAATTGAAAACAAGTATGGCGTTTATGTAGGGCGGTAATATATTTTATATTATTATTTCTGTAGTTTTGTAATCGAAGTTCAGCTTTAATAAAAACATGATAATACACGGACGTTTTCTATTTTTCTCTTATCTAGTGACAGTCAATTATTTTTTCTTTTTGAAGTGTCAGATATCCTCCCAGTCTCATATAACAACTGTTGGCCTTCGACGGAATTATTTTTCTCTTATCTAGTGACAGTCAATTATTTTTTCTTTTTGAAGTGTCAGATATCCTCCCAGTCTCATATAACAACTGTTGGCCTTCGATGGAATTATTAGTGAGCAAAAATTCGCCCGTGTGTCTGTTATCACTCGCCACTTCAGTTAGTTATATAGAGGGATAACTCGTGTTTTCCCTTTGCGTTCGTCACTTACCTTTCTTGAAAGCTTCATAACGCATCTATCTATCATAGCAATGATCTCCGTGTTAAAATTATATTTGGAACGCGCTTAACCAGTTCTATCACATTTGTGATAATGACTGACACCAATATTGTCCTTTAATTATTGAACCGGAAATACACTGGTGACAATTATATGGAATACCGTTATTTCTGATTACCGAGCAAGGCTGCTCTAGTTTAGTCTTTATTATCCAATGGATCATAGTGGAAACGCCTCTCAATATTAAGCTAATTGTATAAAGATGTCCATCCGATTAAACTAGAACCAAGTAAAAATATAACTAAACAATTTCTGAAGATTTGAAAATAGTAAGTGAAATGAAATGGAGTTCTGCACCGACTTGACCAATAAAAACGGCATATAAATTATAAAACACAGCCAATTTTTGCTAAAAATGATATTATTGTTATTTATATATTTATTTCACTACTAGTTTTAAATCAGCGGTATCTTTTTCATATTTTCTATATACATGTATAATTAACGGGTGATATATATACCATGATGATTTTATTAGAAATACTGTAATATAAAGTGTTATAAATTCTATTAGAGCAAATGTGGTAGTTGTTATATTTTTAATAGACTTTGTTAAACATACATTATGCAAGAGCTAATTCATTAGACCTATATTTACATGACAAGCTCAAAATCAACTCTGTCTTGGATTTTATTTAAACAGTCATCCATTTAAAATTAAATCAATAAATGGCTGACCAAGCTAACGTTTACTGTTAGTGACTGACGTCATTACCGGAATCAGCCGATGAAAGGCCTGCCAAGCGAGGGAATCGTAGCCATTGAGAATGTTACTTGATAATCGAGTATATGTGAGTGGAGTTATCGTCTGTCAATCAAACGATCGGACACAGTTGATACCTATTTCTAGTCCGAACTTCCAACAGTGACAACTCCATTCAGAGTAAAGTAATTTGACTGAAATATTCAATATGTTCTTTTTTTATCATCTATTTTTGAATTATTATAGCAAGAATGGCGAACTCTTTATTAAACTCTTAACTAATGTATCTTTAATGAAACACGGTTTAACTGCTTTCCATCCTGGTCCAATCTCCAAATACAATAATGGACTGAATCCTAGAACTTACAAAAACAAAAGAAAAAAAAATTAAATTAAATGAGGTTTAATGCCCTCCTTTTCTGAGTCCACGTGGTTAATGTAGATCGGCATTCGCCATACAGTTTGCTTTGAGGGAAATTTTGCCCGTACGGTGATATTATTTCGAATTCCAAGTGTCTGAGATTCATTTACGTGAAAGAGAGAGAGAAAGAAAGAAATGGGGTTTAACGTCCACTCGACACAAACTAGATCATTTCGGAACTAACACATGGTTCAATTTTATTTCAATAATTTGCTTGCGCGTAGTTGTCTTTAGCAGTGGGAACTCCCGGGGAAAACCCACGAGGTCGAACAGGCGACCTACTCCTTGTCACGTACAACCGAGGAATTGAATCACGCCAGTTGACTTAATGACAGACCGTTTTTCGTCCCCTCCGAACGACTAAACACTGTCCTTGCCAGACCAATGGCCATCTATTCTGTATCATAACGCTTTTATTTCGCTTTGTCACGTATTGAACCGGACTACACTTATTTAAGTGTTATTTAAGTGAAACAGTGATTTATCTAAAGGCAGTTATAGTTGTGTTACAGCTTTATAATGCATTTTAGAACTTTTCCACTTGAAATCGAGGGGGGGGGGCCTAGTCGTTTAACACGTGAAAAAGGTCTCTCCTGAAATGGAAAATTTGATGGTAAATGCCTCTCCTGGGGAAGCTCTCCTGAATCTCCTGAGGAGAGCTGTTTTAGCATTTGTGAGAAGAACGGGGATTTTAATCCATTTTGAAACCAACCGGCCAGAATTGGGTCAAATGAGCTCCCGTTAACTTTAATATAACCAGACTTCAACAAAAATAAGTTTTGGTAATTTGTTATGGAGAATGTCGTATTCTGAATAGGCTAATATATGACTTGAAGTTCAAGTCAGTAATATTCTTGAATAAATTACTGTCTTCGTTTATTCGATGGATAAACTGATATCATCAGTCGATGGAAATTGGGTTTGTTCTTATACGGCCAGTGTCAGAAAATGCAGTAGCCAAAATAAGCTGATATACCATGGCATTTCTTCATATTTAAAACACAAATTCTTGTTTTTGTCTATCACGTAAGTCACATTTTCCTAGAAAATTCTTAAGCACGTTCTTGTGCTTAGCTTTTAAGTAGACTTTGCATTTAAGTAAACTTATCTTATTTTGTGTTCCCAGAAAATTCTTAAGAACGTTCTTGTGATAAGATTTAAAGTAGACTTCAGTCTAAGCACAAGCACGTTATTATGTGTTCCAAGAAAAAACTTAAGCACAACTTCGTTCTTAAACATTGTCAATCTAAGCACAAGTCCCAAGCAAGGTATACGGCTTGCTTACCAACCTTAAGCCTGTTTCTGTTTCAAACAAGGACCCGTCGATTCCTAGAAAATTATTAAGCACGTTCTTGTGCCTAGATTGTAAGTAGACTTTGCATTTAAGTAAACTTATCTATTTTGTGTTCCCAGAAATTTATATGTGTATAGGGGTCATGTCAAATGCATCTAAATTTGATCACTTGCCCGTAAGCAGTGACCTATTGATGACGTAATTCGCATACCACAATTGTTTTTATGACGTTAGAGAGCATCGTAGTCTCAGTTTACCACTCACAATGTGCTAAGACTCGTACTTGACTTTACGCAAGAAAGGCTTTGAGAATTTTCTAGAGACGGTATTTTATAAAGTTTCTTACATAGGCAGCAGTGAAGCATGACTTTTGTGTTCCCAGAAATTTATGTGTATATGGGTCATGTCAAATGCATCTAAATTTGATCACTTGCCCGTAAGCAGTGACCTATTGATGACGTAATTCGCATACCACAATTGTTTTTATGACGTTAGAGAGCATCGTAGTCTCAGTTTACCACTCACAATGTGCTAAGACTCGTACTTGACTTTACGCAAGAAAGGCCTTGAGAATTTTCTAGAGACGGTATTTTATAAAGTTTCTTACATAGGCAACAGTGAAGCATGACTTTGTGCTTACTTTCAAGAATTTTCTAGGAACCCCTGAAATTTGTACGGATCGAGCGTCGAAGACCAATGCCGAGCGGGATTTCCTCATTCGCCACGTGTCTTATTATTACAAAGGAAACTTGCTGGACTTGCAAGCTTGGTTTTTTTTTACCGAATTATCAAAATTGCTCGGATTATGAACGAGATGGCAGATTCTCACTAAGGTATGACTGTTATTGTAGGCTACAAGAAAGTTGTGACTCTAGAGGTTGCACGTCAAATGTTTAGGACTGTCTCCAATCTAGCATTCTGCATGATCTTCTTAGTTGTTTCTTGATTAGTATTGTATTGACTGTTGGGATATGTTTAGTCTTGTTCATTGAGTCCCTTATTACAATTGGCACCCAAACACATTTTGGCACACGAATCGTTAAAATATGTATTTTGTCTTAAATATTGGATATCAGAAGATATCTCATAAACTAGTTTTTAAAATGCATTGCAAGATCCACCACCTAAAAATGTGTGTGTGTGTGGGGGGGGGGGTAACACTACCAGGGGCTATAATCCAGGAAAATTATAGCATTAGAACAAATTCTGTGGGAGAGATAAATAAAATGGGGTTTAACGTCCTACTGTTTTGCTCCTATACTGGGCTAATGAATACGGACATATGCCATACAGCGTTATATGAGGGAAATTTTGTTTGGGCAGCGGCAGTATGGTCTACTCTTGTATCGAATTCCAACTGCCAAGGTATCGTTTACGTGCAGGCCAATGTATACCGGGACCTCGGTATTTCATCTCATCCTTCACCACTGACAAGCGGAAATCACATTGGAAAATCCCAATGAACGTTCTCAGCGAATGCTCGCGAACCAGAATATTACCCACCAGCCACCGTGGCTCTCCGGGAGATATAAGGTTCAATGTCCACAAGATACAAAGTAGCTGTGGGTTTTATTTCAATAATTTCCTTGCGTGTAGGGTCTTCTGCAGTGGGTGGTTAACACACAATCACATACCAATTTTCAAGTGTCAACAATTTAATTAAATCAACCTGTCCATAATATCATATTCATTGTATTGGACGTTAAATCTGTAATAAACAACAACAACCAACACATAATTTCATTGCAGTCCAGTGAATTTCTTATAGTTTGCCATGTTGATTGCCTCAATATCGTGTGGTAAATATCTTATAGTGTGCTGGCTTATAATGTGCCAGGTTGATCTCAGCCTCTTTTCTGGATATATACTATTCAAAAAAAGTAGGGGATATTTGATTTTGGGGGCATAATACTAAAATATGCAAATGACTACGAAAAAAGTCACTATTGAACCTAACAGAAGAAACTTTTCCAGTTACATGTGACGCCCAAACGCACCAATAGCTACCGCATGGAATGCAGGTGATGCTTGGGATCATCATGGGGGTCCAACCCAAGATTTGCACGACTCTGACTTTGAATGTTACAGTCATTGTGGCATTGAATTCCAGGGTGGAAACATCAGTTTAATTGTATTAGTGACCAGAAACAAATTTTGATATGCGTCGGCTTACCCAAAATGAAAGTTTACGTGCCCTTGGCATGCTACAGATCGGCACAACACAGGCGGTTGTGGCGCGGACGATGAATGTTTCTCAGTCTGTCATAAGCAGGCTATGGTCCAGATACCGTGATACACAATCTGTACAGGACAGACCACGCTCAGGTCGACCAAGGGCGACAACGCAAGCCCAGGATCGATTTATCCGTACCTTGGCCTTGAGAAATCGTGTCATCACAGCAAATCAGATCAGCGCTCGTCTTCAAACAGACACTGGTGTGAGAGTGAGTGGCCAGACGATTCGGAATCGACTGCATAGGGGTCACCTTCGCGCCCGACGTCCTCGCGTTATCCCTTGTTTGAGAGATCATCACATTCAGGCAAGACGTCGTTGGTGTAGGGATCGTCAACACTGGAGCAATGTGATGTTTTCAGATGAGTCATGGTTCACTGTTGATTTTTTGGACAGACGTAGGAGGGTGTGGCGTCGTCGAAACGAGCGCTTCCAAGACGTTAACGTCATCAGACATGATCGATTTGGGGGTGGTTCTGTTATGGTGTGGGGAGGCATCACTGTTGCTGGAAGAACGGCTTTACATGTTGTTGCAGGGCGTGTTACAGGCCAGTACTACCGGGACAACATCTTGGCAGTCCATGTTGTGCCGTTCGCACGACGTCATGGCCGCCGTTTCATCTTCCAGGATGACAACGCAAGATGTCACAGGGCCAGGATCGTTACAGGTTACCTCCAACAACAGAACATCTCCACATTACCTTGGCCAGCACTGAGTCCCGACCTCTCCCCCATCGAGTATGTCTGGGACATGCTTGGACAGAGGTTACGTCAACAACGTCCTGCCAATGTCCAAGAACTTGCTGCTGCGTTGCAACAGGAATGGGACAATCTGGACCAAAATGACCTTAGAC